TCATCAAATCTGTTCTTCAGATGATCTCTAAATTCAGGAGGGATAAATTCAAGATCATATTTTGGCTCTCGTAGATTTGTTTTCATTTTCTTCACAGGGTTCCTATGAGTCACAATCAAATAGACGGCAGTGGGTTGGATTGGGTTTTTGAGTTCATTCAGAGACTCACTAAACTGCTTATGCTAATATATAAAGCATTAATAGAAAAATAAGATTATTTACAATTTTAGTGATAAACCATGGAATCTAAACCATAAAAGGAGGAAAATGAAAACATGGAGAGTTTAACAGTCAATGGAGGTTAGGACCAAATGAAGAACTGTTTAGTGGGTTAACTAATGAGTGAGTTAGAAGACAGAAGGCGATGGTCAGTAAAATGCCTGAAGTCAAGGATTAGGAACAGTAATTATACAGTCTTAAGTGATGAAAGGGTTCCTGGTGTGGCACTGTAGGATCAGCCCTGGACTGCAAACTAAAGGTCAGCAGGTCAAACCCACCAGCTGCTCCTCAGAAACCCTTTGTAGGGTCACTGAGTTGGAACCTACTTCATGGCACTTAACAACAGGGTAATGATACGCTAAGATAAGGTGGAGGGGAAAATCAATGCAAATGAGGAAGGCAAGGAATGAAGACGAGGAGTTTAAATAGGAAAGTGATTTCACCGAAACTGAATGCATACTAAAACACCTGTACACACACATATGCAATTTTACACGAAGAGAACTACTTTTTATATTAAATGAAGCATATGCTAATTAATAAAAATAAGAGTTTTAAAAGAAACTAAGTTTTCTTACTCTTTGAGATGTTTCTGCTACTGCAGCTGCCATTGCAGCAGCTTTAGCCTTCTCAGCTTCATCGTATGTCGGAAGAGAGGTAGCAACACTATATGGAGGTGGCACAGGATAAAATTCACTGTAAACATCTGAATCTGAGAGGAAAAAATATAACTGTTAAAATCAATTGATATCATTTATCAATTCTGTATAGCCAAAACAATAAGCTATTTATTATAAAATACCACAAAAGACTAATACTGTTACTGTACTCCTATATAACATATAAATCACTATTATAATCCTATGCTATTTTAATCTACATAAAAAGAATGGTATTTTAAGTATCATCTAAGGCTGGTACACTATACAGAAGTCCCCAGAATGAGATTTTGAAAAGGAGTTTCATATAAGAAAGATAAAAGCTGAAACAAAATATGGGCACCCTCCATTTGCCTATTATTATGCGGCTGTTGTTGTTAAGTGCCATCGAG